ATGTTTGATTTAGTGTTTCTACCTAATTCACCATGAAGCAAGCAGTAACAGAGAGATAGGTATATAAGTAGAAATGAAAATATATTAATGTCGCAGTCATATGCCGTAGGAAAATAATAAAATGCAGGCTACTTACATTTCCAAGCCAAAATTAAGGTTTCACCTACAAGACCAGCTATCTTGAAAGAGCTAAATTTTACAACAACTCTCCGTTCATTAANATTCCAAATGTAACATCAAAAAATTAACAAAGTGACAAATATTTTTTTAATATTGACCGCGCATCGCGCGGGTACGACTACTAGTTTATTATTAAAAGGAAGGAAGTTTGGCATAGGATTGTGACAAGTGGTAGAATAAGAAAATGACACATGTTAGTTTTTAGGACAAAAAGTAGTTATTAGGAGTAATAATTAGTTATTAGTTAAAGTTAATGTATTTTATTAAAATCTATATCTATCTATAATTAAAAGAGAGGAAGAAGCATCCTCATTAAGCCAAGTGGCATCATCACAATAGGACAATCCTCCAAAAAAAATAGGAGCTAGAAGACTATTTAAAAAAATAAATCAGATTTCTTTATTTTAAAAAGTTAACTGATTTTAAAGCTTACATTTGTTAATCTTTAAATTTAAAAAGGAAATGTGATATACATTGTTATTTAAAAATTAAAAAGTGCACATTTAGAACCCACGTTCCCCAATATTAAAGATTTCTTTATTTCTAAAAAATTAATTGATTTTAAAGCATATGTTTATTAATCTGTAAATTTAAAAAGCAAATCTGATTTAGATTATTATTTAAAAATTAAACATCAAAAATTGCATATTTTAAAACATACGTTTTTGACTAGCTTTGAACCATGAAGACGGGTTGTCTTTCAAATATCTTTATTTAATTCAAAATTTTAGATTTATTTATGTTTAAGAAAATTAACTGATTTTAAAACGTACATCTTAAGAAATTTACTGGTTCAAAATTATGAAATAAAAGCTCCTTCAAATTCATCTACTTTAAACCATGAAGACCGTAAGCTTGTTTTTTCAAGAAAAGAGCTTTATTTAATTCAAAAATTCTGACTTTTTTATTTTAAAAAAATTAACTGATTCTAAAACATTGTTTACTCTTTAACTTTCACAAAAAACTGCTTTAGATTATTATTTAAAAATAAAAAATTGCACATTTAGAACCCATGTTCCCTATCCTCTGCAAAACCAAAAAACACGATGCAAACGCACGATTGAAATGGAACTACTCCACGATGCCGATTTCTATTTCTCCAACTTATAGTCGGTTCTTAACTTTGAATCTTCCATCTGCTATAAAAAATACAAGAAAACATACGATTTCAGCAAATATGGCTATTCACAGTGATTTAATCAAGCAAGTTCAAAGTTTGGGTTGTTCGTCTGTGAGGAGTACCAGATTCTTACCATTCCAACGATACTTTCTCGATTGAATTGGTTCTACAAGATGAAAAGGTATTAAAAATCTATTATTATCTTATAATTCGTTTTTAAATTTGCATATATACGTATACATGGGATAATCAATAGCAAAAACTTGATTGAAGCATTTGTGCACCAAACATATGTATCCTTAAATATGTTTCTCAGTAATATACTAAGCATGTATCATGTGTTTGCTTCTCTATTTTTTAATGTGAAAATCTGAATTTTTTTTTGCATCTGTTACAATGAATAACATATATCTTTAAGTCGTTGTGTGATAAAATCAAGCTAAAAAACTGTTTAACATGACTATTTTTGTTGTCAGATTGATACATATATTGTGTACTCTTATTAGCCTATGATATATAATGTGATTAGAAGGTACCAACCAAACAAGTCGGACCATATCTTTTGCCTTCACCCATGTTCTAGATTTCTCCAAGAATAAGCTTATTAGGCAGCGTGCGAGCATACATGCTAAAAGTGTTCTCAAAATGGACAACGTAGTACCTTTTGGAGGCAAGTAGAGAAGGAAAATCATCGACTTTACTTTTAGAGGATCTTGAAAACAGTATCTTACTTAAGAAGGAATAATAAAGAGATAGTATGCTAGCTTTAAAATTTAACGACTTTATATATATATATATATATATATATATATATATGAATACTTTTTGTAGCAGTTCTGTTGTAACGTGAACAACTTTTGTAGTTTAAACTAGGAATTGCCTCTTTTTATCAGTTAAACAATTATAAGAGATAATTATAACTGTAGAGAAATTTAACAATTACGATAAAAAAAAAACAATGGCACTTTTTTCCATTTAAATATGTGCATTACTGTAATTATTTTGACTTTATGTTCTAACTGTTTTGCTTCTTCACTCTAAATATCTAATAATTTGCTCGGTTTAACTATATTCTTCAATCTCTTTAGTTAGGAAGTTATATGTAAATAACTGAAATAATTGTATTTATCAATAATTAGGCTATATATGTTCAGTTCTCAGTTGGCATTTTTGTTTTTGATTAATGAAATATGCGTAATTTAAAGTATGCATAATTTATGTGTTCCCCTTTATACAAATATGCTATCCTCAATTTCGATATCACAAGTTGTATTAATATATTAAACAGGAAAGTTCATGTTGGATTGTTGCAAGTATGGAAAATTTAGAAATTGAAAGAGGATGGTCGTATGTCAACTGCAAGAAGTGTCAAAAGAAGGTGGATAACATGAGAAACATTTATTGTTGGCCAAATCTAAAATGTAAAAATGAAGATTACTCAACGGCGAGTAGGTAATAATAGAAACTCTATTTTCTTAATCTATCAAAACATACATGTATATCTCAAATCAAACATGTATTTAGGTACAAGCTTCAGGTTACAGTTATGGATGGTACGGGATCTGTTTCACTGTTGCTCTGGGACCGCGAAGCTATGTTTCTCATAGGCAAGTTCGCAAATGAATTGAAGGAAGGATTACTTGAGGTATTTTTCTAAATTAAGTTCATATTTGTTTTAAAAAAATTCTAACGCAAAATTTATTCTAAAATACTGGCGTTGTTGGCAAATTTCCCTATCCCGTAGAGTTGAACAAATATCCTTGAAAGAAAATTCATGTTTAAGGTCATCGTCATAAGCTCGAATATTCAGATGCAAGATGAAGTTTACAGTGTTGTTAAGGTGATAGATGAGGAGCAACTGATGAAGAAATATACTCATGCTCCACGTTCATATGCCTTCACCGTATGTGATCGTTACTCACAAACATCATAATTTATTTAAGTTGCACATTTCTGTTAAATTGCATATATTAAGTCTTTTTTCAAACTAAATTATTTTTTATATTTGTTAGGACCATAACTTCAATATTATTCAAGGTGTAGATGAAGAGAAGGAATGCGAGGTAAATACATCGCTAACTTTTAATTTCTCCTTTACGATGTCACTTATTTTACTTATATATATGGATAGATATATTTGAGAATAAAATTTTGTGTCTGGTCAAACAAAGATTTTTTGAAGGATGCACTAAAGAACTTGATTATTAGAATTCATGGGTTTATATTCAGCAGTAAGTAGGTATATATGATGTATTAAAATAATTTGATAAATTGCATTAATATTTGTATCACAACATTGTGTTTTGTGTGTAAATCATGAAATGCTAAAATTTAGTTAATACACAACAAATACTTTACTCACTTGCATGGAACTTTTTGATAAAAACTGCAAATTAATTTTGCAATTGATGTATTTTTTCTCATCATAGTAGAAAAAGGAAGTCTTTATTTGAACTTAATTTGTTTTGCTAAAATGTAAGTTTGAAGGCAGAATGATTGTACATGCATGGATACAATCAACTTTTTTTAACATATTTAGCGTTTTGAATGTTTACTTTATTTATTGTATAGGAAGCCCGAAGCTGTGAACGATAATAACATGATGCCTCCATTCAAGATGTATGACAAGAGCACTAGATCAGCCAATAAGACATCATCAGTATCTGAGTTGTTAACTACTCGAATGAATGTATGCATTACTTTAATGCTAATCCATAGGAAGTCAAAAATACAAAATTCCACCAAGCCTCGAAGAACTTTTTTCCTTCATTGTTTTTCAGTCATAGTTTATCCTCCATAAAACATATTTGACAATTTGGGATAAACACTTGAGGAATACATTTGAGGAACTTTATTTACCATTATGAGTTTTTTTAGAAGTAGAATATGCTTTTTCTGATTTGGTGGTTATGCATTGTGACAAATTGAAGCATAAATTAGTTCTTTATTCTTCACTTACAACCAGTTGATTATTATTTGAAAAGTTAACAAGTAAAGCTTTATACGTTTGGTTTAGTGTTTCTACCTAATTCACCATGAAGCATGCAATAACAGAGAGATAGGTAAGTAGAAACGAAAATATAGCAATGTCGCAGTCATATTGCCGTAAGGAATACAATAAAATGCAGGCTACTTACATTTTCAAGCCAAAATTAAGGTTTCACCTACAAGACCAGCTATCTTAAAAGAGCTAAATTTTACAGCAACTCTCCGTTAATTAAGACGAACTGGATTGGCAGTGGCCGGCAGAGATTGTAAGAAAACTTACCTCTACATTATTGCAAATATCAAAGACGAAACATTTTCTTTTTTAAATTGACAAGGAATAACTCTTTCTTAAATATATGTCAAATTTTTTCTCTTGGTAGAAATCGAGCATCAGCTTTTTCCTCTTACATTTTCACAGCAGTTGAAAAGGTTTGTACGATTGATCTAAGCTAGCTTCACAGCTACTTGGAAATTTTCTTAGAATAGTACTGTCATTTGGTCTTGAATCATACTTGGGTTCCAGTATTGGCCCCAATAAATTCATCTATTCATTTTTTATTTTAATTCTTTTGAGTTCGATCGTTAAATTTAATCAGCAATATATATACATATGTTTCTATTGTCTCTCTCGCTCTTTTTTTTCTTCTTTTAATCGATCCGCGCATCGCGCGGGTACGTATATTAGTAGGTTATAAACGGAAGAAGAACTAGATAAGTGATAACTATAAAACAACAACTAGGAAATGCAACATATATGTTAGCATACACATCTTACAAATCATAATACAGAAGAAAAGAAACAATTAGTAGTGAATCCAATAGCAGATTTAGGCGAGGAAAACTAACAATGGAAAATTGAACAAAAACAAAAAACCGGATACTTCAGCCAGCCAAGTGGCTGGGTGATCTGTTGAACATGGCATGCCACATGTAAGCTCTAGAAAGTACCATCTCAAGCTCTGAATGGCTCCAGTTATGAGTTGGAAGGTGCTGAAGGAACATGACCATCTCTTGGAATTCAAGCTTCAGCAGCTTATCTGACCACTGCACAATAAACACAACATTGAGCAAATATACACAGCAAAGCTCTTTCAACTGCAATTCTGGTTTAGTAAATATAACAGGCAAAGGAAGCTCTAAGATTAAGTTTGTGTATGGAAAATAAAATTGGTATTAGAAAGAGTATGAAGAACTACCGAGACTTATAAGGAAAATAACACTCTGGTCACAAGAAACAGAGGTTTTGGGTCAAGTGACTGGAATACTGTGTAACGATACCCATGATATATTCTTTCTTTGCATGGTCTTAATATGTCAAGGGGTGTCTATAACTTATAATAATACTTCAACCCTGTTTCCTTCAATTCAATATTTACCAATCCATTCTGGACTTGTCTTACAAACCTTTCTTTCTAAAAATAAGGTAAAAGAGTGTTTTCTCTGTATTTGTAATGCCAGTAAGATTCAGGGTGTGTTTGGTACGAAAGGAAATATTTTTTGAAAAATGTTTTCCAAATAAGTGATAAAACCACTCAGTTTCCTTCATACCAAACACACCATCAATGTCATCACATAAATCTCAAGCAGATATTAAGAGAAATCTTACTGTGAGCAGAAAGCTTGCAGCAATATATACAAGAAAATCTGGCAGCGCATCACCTTCTGCAAGATATGTATCCCACAATCGAGAAACAAGATGGAAAGGGATCTGCAAGAATAGATTGATTAGGTCTGTGTCTTAAGGTATTCTTTACTATGACACCTAAAAAGGGCTTTATCGACGATGCAGAACATAGAAAAAGGATGGAAAAAAAATTAATATGATAAAGGCAGAAAAACAAACCTCGCGTATCAAGAGACAATTGAACCAGCGAAAAGCAAACTGGAGAAACTCAAGCCCTTGCTCTTCCATGTGTGTTGACACAGGTTCTATTAAATGGGGAGGAACCAAATATCAAAATTATAACATGTCACGTAAAAAATTTCTGAAAGAATATATATATATATATATATATATATAT